GACAGTTTCTTCTGACTTTACATGGACTATCCACATACACGAGAAGATTACCAAAGCGAACCGTATGCTTGGCATGCTGAAACGTTCGACAGTTCATGTTAGAGATGCAAGCACTAGACGTAGTTTATATCTGGCATTAGTCCGATCTCATCTGGCCTATGCGTCACAGGTATGGAGCCTACAAACCGTAAGCATGTGTGGTGAATTGGAAAATGTTCAAAGGAGGGCAACTAAATTCATCTTGGCTTTACCTTTTGAAACTGACACTTGCTATAAATCAAGATTGTTGGCCTTAAACTTGTTACCACTGAGCTACTGGCACGAATATATGGACGTTCTCCTTTTATTCAAACTTACACGTGGATTTATTTCATCTGACCTCAATATCCTCCCAGAACAAAACAACAAATTAAGGATGAACCTACGGTCACAAAATACCACCCTTGTGACATATCATATACCAAAAACTAAGACACTCTGCTATCAGAACAGTTATGCTGTTAGAGCTTCACGGATATGGAACACTCTTCCCAATGAATTACGTCTACCAGAGATTTCATACCATCGATTTAAATCCCTCCTTTCCCAATATTACCTTACTGCCACCAAGACCACCTTCGACAAAGATCACCCCAAGTCATGGAAAACAATATGTCCCAAGTGCCATCTAGCAAGATCATTAAAAACGTTCAAGAACTGTTGTTTCTAGGACTAGCCTTGATGGCTAATGTGGACTTTGAACTGTAATTATATGTAAATAGATAGATGTGTTGTGTACGTTTCGAGTTCGAGTGGATGTATTGTTAGTACTGTCTGTAGAACCAGGGCATCAACGTAATTGGCTGACGCTGTGTTGATGTACCTGCGCCATTGTCGTTGTATAAATTTTTGGCGGCAAAGTTTATAAATAAATAAATAAATAAATGCCCCCTTCCCTGGAAATTCCAGGGTTAATGCACCCTCTCCCCTGGAAATTTAAAGTTAATGCACCTCTCCCCTGGAAATTCCAAGGTTAATACACCCCCTCCCCTGGAAATTCCAAGGTTAATACACCCCCTCCCCTGGAAATTCCAAGGTTCCTCAACAGGGGAGGTGCGGATAATAATTGGAATAGCCCATTGATATAATAAATTGACAACTTCAAAAATTTTTTCCTGGGATACTTTGTTTTCTGCTTTCTAGACTCCCCCTTGCAGCTCTAGTGCTCCACCCCTGGATATAGACCTTACTGGGATTTGGTGACACTTTGTGTTGCTTCAGTCACCTGCTCACGGCTCACCCCCCTAAAATTTCTGGCACCACCCCAGTAAGAAATATCAAAATCCGTATGTTATAAAACCAGTATCAAACCTGAAATTACGCATAATTATCCAAGTTTTTGGATTGTCGGCTCCACAAAGAATATACACAAGTTCTGCAGAGTCTCTCTCGCTTCTCCGTGCGGCTGTACCTTGCCACAGAATAAAGACATACAGAAGTGTATCTTCTTATTAAAAGTGCGTAAGGGATTTTTTCAGTCCGCCATGTTCTTAGCAAGTGCCCTAAAGAGAGGCAGTCACCCCCCTGAAAACATATTGAAAATTTAATATTCCAGGGGGGTGAATGCCTCTCTTTAGGGCACTTGCTAAGAACATGGCCGCCAGCTTTTCGGTAAAAAAGGCCTTACGGTTTTGTAATGGAAGTTACACTTCTGTATGTCTTTATTCTGTGGCCTTGCCGAGAAGAAATACGAGAGGACTTTGCTCGCAGGGTAAAAACCTCCTTGATTACCTTCGGCGGAAATTTTACACTTTACCGTACCGGAGTAATCACTGAATACATACGCCATCCGAAAACACTCCAATAAAAGAACGAAAAAACCGTCAGAACACACGCAATCAAATACTTGCGGTACGCTAAAGTGTAAAGTACCCCCTTCGGCTTCCAGATTTTGTCACTTTCTGCTTTGAGAATATCATATGTTTATTTGTCGCAAGTAGACCACTTCGCCTTCCAAGGATTAAGCGTGTGAGATACCGGTAACGGCAAATATGTATTAAAAGCATATATAAAACAATTTCGATTGGGCATTTGTGATTGTCATAGTTTAAACTGTTCTAACCAACTGTTAACAAATTGCTCGTACAAGCAATAAATGATTAAAATGTTGTCTGGACCACACTTACCTAAATATATGAAGAGTTGTGTGAATTTGTAGAAATAATTGATCTTTTCTGCGGATTCTGCCCTGATTCTACTTCATGCTAGTGAAAAATTGCATTTTGGTTTTTGAATTTCGACCGGTCACATGCAGGGCAATTCTGATTGGCCAATCTCGTGGGCACAGAATAGGAAGTTATACCAGAAGCGTAACTCGAGCAAATATTTGTCCGCGTTTTTACAAGCGATTCGTCATCAATCACGCCATCCTGGCTAGTACAACCGGCACTTTGTACCTACCAAATCCTGATAAAAACTTCCGGCTGTACTAGCCAGGATGACGTGGCCTGACGTGAGCGAGTTAAAAATTTTCGTGGACGTCAAACAATAAGGGAAACGACTAGAGTTACGCTTCTGGTATAACTTCCTATTCTGTGTCGTGGGCATGCATGCGTGCAGGCCCTCGTGGGCATGCATGCGTGCAGGCTCACAATTTTATGGGGGGCCTGATTTGCAGAGGGCCTGCCACGCAGGCTACTCAGCAAGTACCGTAAACAGAAGCAACCCCCCTGGAAATACTCAAAATGGCGCACGTCCAGGGGGTGACTGCTTCTGTTCACAGTACTTGCAACCCAGGTGTTGCAACCTCGTTCCCAGGGCTTGAAACAAAGGTTGTGGTACTTGTGATCTGACAGATTGTTACGCAAAAAACAATTAATGGAGATGGACTTCTGTCTGTGATTCTGTGAAGTATTCTGTGACAATGAGGAAACTTACGTTTTTTATGTATCCACTTTTTTTCAGGCAACCGGACAAAAAATATGTATGATCAACTGCGCATGCTCGGCAAGTTCCACGAGCAGTTAAAGGGGGCCGCCATCCAATGGGATGCATGCATCTGGACCCTGGTAACTGAGGCCCATCAAGGGTGTAACCCAGGTTGCTTGTCACTCATTTTGTAGCTGTTTTGTCACTTGTTTTATTGTAATAAATGTTGTTGTCACTTTTGAACCATAACACAAATTGCAATTTGTCACTTTTTCCCAGTCAGAAGCTGTCGTTTGTCGCTCTTTTTTACATAGTCTGTCGCCTCTTTATGGGAATGTCGCCTGTTGGTCATCCCTTGGTGAGTTGGTGGCCCTCGTAACTTGGCAAGCATGCGCACAAAAAAGGTGGGTACACTAGTTATAACCAATGAGTTATAACTCTGTGTATGTATCTACCACTGAGCTATAATATATTACTCAGTGGCCATGCCACAATGGCATGAAAATACTGTCTGACTGTGGCAGATGCTTTTATGAAAAAGACTGCCTGTGATCTGTCAGACAGTATTTTCACTGTAAAATTTGTTTGCGTCGAAAGAATACATTTCAATTATCCAATATTTTATGTTCATATTGCTGTACAATTTTGATTCAAGAAATACCAGTATTGCAAATTTTATCGAATGAAATTCCTTTTCAAGTGGAAGCACAGCTTACGAAAAGTGGATAAAATACAAATAGTATTGTGAGAGAAATAAAACGAAAGCAAATATTACATAAAGAAAGCATTGTATGAAATGAGAATGTGAGAAAGTGATTTCGTTTTATTTTGATGTTTCGTCCTAAATATTTAATATATATTCCTCTGGCAATTGTATTCCTGACTCTAGTATGGTTATTATTCCCATATATATTTACAGGTTTGTATATTTAAAGAGAAATGTAATAGATTTGTTGATGTGTGGTATAAACTATAGGTACTAAATATGCATATTAATTATTTGTTTCGTTGTGAGTACTTGTAAGCAGCATGTATCAATTAGGTGCGTGTCCAATGTCATACAAAAGAAAATGTTTTGTTATATAGTTAGTGTCAATGTTCAGTTTTTCTGTTTGCTGATTGGTCAACACTGTATCACGTGCCGGTCCACAAAACGTCGTGTTCACTGCGTGCTTTGCCGAGGAGGCAACCGGTCCACAATAAAACATTTATTGACTGGTCAATAATAAAATGGGTGCAATACACATGTGTGTCAACCATGAAGTTCCAAAGTTCATTTTTTAAACTTTTTATTAAACATTTACGGCATTCCATTTATCCAGTTTTGGTTTCAAATTAAGTTCACTCCAATAACTGGTGAATTACATAGACGGATTTTCATATTTTTTACTGGGGTGGTGCCAGAAAATTTCGGGGGTGAGCCGTGTGCAGGTGACTGAAGCAACACAAAGTGTCACCAAATCCCAGTAAGGTCTATATTCTAGGGTGGAGCACTAGAGCCACAAGGGAGAGTCTAGAGAGCAGAAAACAAAGTATCCCAGGAAAAATTTGAAAAAAATCATGATTTCTAGCTTCGAAAAAAAGTTTTTTGAAGAGTGTCATATCAATGGAGTTGGCATGTCCGATTGTCTGTTGAGACTTGAGAGAGTTAAAGTTAAATGAACCTGTAAAAGTGTAAACCCAGTAGGCCAATACACAATATGCTTTTACTTTTATAAAGTCATTAACATTGTACGTGTCATTTGAATCCGAGTACAATTTATGATGCAACTCTGATGTAAATAATATTTGGGGCGTAAAGATTAAATCTAGGCAAGTCTATTTCCTAAAAGAATTAAAAACTAAAAATAATGTTCGTAAAAATTGCAAACGTTCCTTGCAAGCAAGCTATTTGCATGACAAGGCACTACAAACTCTATTCAGGGGAGTACACTCAAATAGAAAAAGACAGTGCAATACTCTGAAACCAATCGCTCCTCACTTGCATTCACTGGTTTATTGGAGCAATTGTAAAGTTTTGAAACTCTATTATCTCCCCTGAATAGAGTTTGCAGTGCCTTGTCATACAAATAGCTTGCTTGCAAGGAACGTTTGGAAGTTATTGAGTTATAGCTACCCCCTGGAGGTGCTACCCCCACCTTGGCTTCGCCTCGTGCAACAACGGCGTTCTCGGGTCCACAAAACACACTGTTTCCCTCGGCCTCAGTAAATAAGTATAAATGATGTGTTTCAATAGAGTTGAGGTGAAAAAACACCCAAGATCCCAGATAATTAGATTCTGCTTTTTTTACAGGTTGCTACTCTTCGTGGAATAACACACTAATTGAACAATTTGGAAAAGATTATAGAAAAAAAGCTGTAACTATTCAGAGACATGTACAGTCATTACTTGAGAGGGAGAAACGACAAAATCAGCTCTTAACTGCAATAGAAAATTTAAAAAATAGTGTACAAAAACAACTTGAGAAACAAAATGTTTCAAAACCTAAAACCAATCCAAAAATGCCATATATTTATGCAATTACACCAACATATGAACGACACACACAAAAGGCAGACCTGACCAGACTCTGTCAAACTTTTAAACATATCTCAAATTTTCACTGGATATTAGTGGAGGATGCCAATTCAAAAAGAGGTTTAATTCAGAGGTTTTTAAAAAGATGTGGAGTGATGTATACTCACTTGGCAGTGAGAACAAAGTCAGAGTTACAGAGAGGTGAGAATGAACCGAGATGGAAGAAAGCTAGAGGCGTAGAACAGAGAAATGCTGGTCTTGCTTGGCTTAGGGAGAATGTTCGCAGGAGCACTGCAAATGGTGTGGTATATTTTATTGATGATGACAATACGTATGATTTGGACATTTTTGAACAGGTATACTTTTAATAAGCGTCTCTAATAACCCCCCCCCCTCTAATTACCACCCTCTCTAACAAGGCCCCTTCCCCAATATACCTGCTCTCTAATAACCCATCTCTAATAAGTCTTTCCCTTATAAGTCCCCTCCCATTACACCCACCTCCTCTATTAGTGGGACACAATAAATTTCAATCATATTGATACATTCCCTGATCTATACTAGAGACAGACAATCTGTACTAAATATGAAGACAAAGGAAGGATAGTTTGTCTGATAATTTTTCTGTGTCCAGTATAATGGTCAGATCATCTATCAGAATGAGTTATCTGCATAATTAACTCAAATATATGTAAACTAGCATACACTGTTTATTCTGACAGATGATCTATTCAATATGTGTATGAATATGGCATTAGACAAATTATCAGGAAATATGGCCACTACAAATTGCACTACTTTGTTAACTTGTCTGGATACTTCATGTTGTTTACACATTGATACATCTTATGGATGGTCCATGGATGATCTGTTGTATAAATTCATGACTATGACTGTGTAGAAATTAGGCCATTAAAGTACAAAACTCTTTCCTTGATGATTAGAATAAAAAAATAATGAAATCTTTTAGATGAGGTGGACGAAGAAGGTTTCAATATGGCCAGTGGGCTTGGTAGGTGGATTAAAATGGGAGGGACCAGTTTGTGAGAATGGTAAAGTTATCAAGTTTTGGACAGCATGGGATTTGACGAGACCTTTCCCAATAGACATGGCAGGATTTGCAATCAATATCAAGTTGTTATTGGACAATCCTTCTGCAGTGATCGACATTGACGCACCACAAGGTCATCTGGAATCTTCCTTATTGAAATTACTTGTCACGAAGGACGAGCTAGAACCATTAGCTGATAATTGTAAAAAGGTTTGTGAAGGTCTTTTCTACATCTGCATGGTGATATGCAACCTCGTTCCCAGAGCGTGGGAACGAGGTTGGGTGATATGCATATTGATGACGTGGAAACCATCATGTTTATGTGTCAAGCAACGTTTTCTATTCACAAAGGCCGTTTTCAATCATGCCCAGCACCTAACCTGCGAACGGGCATACTCTGGGTACGAGATTGCCATATATATTGTAACGTACCATACCCGGGCATAGCATTTTCTTTTGTGTCAAAGTCAATTCGTTCCACTCTGTGGTGCCCACGAAACAAAGAAATACGCTATGCTTCTGTTGGGTGTGGTTGAAGTGGAAAACGTCCTTCAGTCGGGATCCGTTTTAACAGTGCTTTCAATTATCACTGGTTTAACAAAACTCAACAGTTTTGACTTGACTGAAGGAGTGAAGAAATAAAACCTGTTTGTTTCGCTTTTCATTTTCAGATACTGGTTTGGCACACGCAAACGGCGGAACCGAAATTAAAGCAAGAAATCAGACTACAGAACATGGGCAAACAATCCGATGCTTCAATTGAAGTATAACTACCCTCGTGGACCCAACCATTTTAGAAATAGAATTTCACATTTCAAAAATTCCAGGGATTGGATCATTGGATGGCGATTTTAAAGTTTATCTTTAAGAATTAAGTCAAGAACTTGAAGAATTAAACAATTATATAAATTTGAAAATTATTGTATCCGTACTCACAACGGACTGGTATACAATGCCAGCGTTTAAATTAAGACTTGACCTAAAACACTATATTAAATTCCATCACTCATCATGGCATCATATATATAGACATATGAGGCCTTTATAAATGCAGCTTGCGAAGTGAATAAATCCACTGTCTTACAAGCAGGTATATGTACAGGTATCACAAAATAAATAAAAACACGTGGAATATCAAAGTGCTAGAACTGCTTGTTCTAAACAAAATATTTATTATAATATAGTAGAAGATTTTTATTCAACTCGATGTATTTTAAACCATTTTGGTTGATTCAGTTTGCTACAGTCTTGTTACTTGTTGTCAATGGTGCGGTGTGGTTCTTCTCGTCAGGTATAAGTATTTTAAATCTACAATAAACTTACATTGGTATATATAACTTGGATAATATAATAACCTTAATAAGCTGGCTTGGTTTGTGTCTGAATTATTTGCGTTGAAGAGTAAAAAGACTTCAACCACGTTCAAACGAAGGCGTGCTTATATGGCCTATATATATATATATAGTTGCATTTTCGCCGCTGCTCCCGTGGTTAGGTCTAAAATGTATGTATAACCTTCCACTCATAATTCCCATCTATCTATACCTGTATTTATTATTGTTGATATGATTGATGCATATCTGAACTTTACTTTTTAGATTCATTCTGTCAGAACGTCTTTTCCGGGGATGTTTTTACAAAGACCGCAACGAAACATAGAATCAGAAGGGAAAACTACGAATTTCACAACAACCTTGCCAAATTATATCAAACCATTTTACGAATGAAACGGAGCGAAGTTGCTGTAGATAGATTACTTTCTCGTTTTGCGAGAAAAAATTTAGATAAGAACGTGCCCACGATATATTGTATAACTCCTACGTACGCCAGGCCAACCCAGAAAGCTGATCTGACAAGATTGTGTCAAACTCTTCAACATGTATGGAACTTTCATTGGATTATTGTTGAGGACTCTGAATATAAAACTGGTTTAGTTTCTCGCTTTTTGGAGCGTTGTGGAGTGACATATACACATTTTGCCGTGAGGACTTCGCCACATTTGAGGCGGAAAAGTAAAAGCCCGCGATGGCACGTGCCAAGGGGGATGGAACAGCGGAACAAAGGATTGCAGTGGGTGCGGCGGAATTTTGACCCGAAGAGAATGAAAGGTGTTGTGTATTTTGCTGATGATGATAATACTTATGATGTGGAGATTTTTAGAAAGGTATTCCATGTTATCCCTCAATTTTTATGTACTATTCATTAGTTGAATCCCCGAGTACGTTAAAAGTCTGTTACACTCATGTCACCAATTAATTGCCGTTGTCGGCATTTCACTTCAAATTTATAATTCACTGGATAGCTTTATCTATAAATTATTCTCCTCAGTAGTCCAGTAAAGTACTGTTTTAATAATAAACGAGCAGGAGTGTTTTATTAGGTTTAAACGGCTTCAAACACGACTACAAATTCGATAGATTTACTGCCTTGTTAGTATTCTTTGTATAAAGAATACTAATGAGGACACAACTACAATAGATACTGCCTTATTAGTATTCTTTATATAAAGAATACTAATTAGGAGTGTTTTATCAGGTTTAAAGCCACTGCACGTGACATATTATGATTGACATGATTTGCCAATAAGCTTATGAATTATTAATGAGTGTTTGAAGGCCTGTATATCAGTGCCCTCTGATCAGTGCCTTAATAACTTGGCAAAATTCACTTATACCCCCCACCCGCACTCAAAGAGGTCTAGCGCCGCCCCTGCTCACATGCGCTTGAGGTGAAATTATAATCAAGTAGGCACATTGACCAACCACTGCCTTTCTAGATCGCATCCTAACTGAAACCTCTTTATAATTTAGATGCGTGAAACAAAAGCTGTTTCAATTTGGCCTGTGGGTTTTGTTGGTGGTTTACGTTGGGAAGGTCCTGTATGCCAAAACAACACAATTATTGACTTTCGCGTGGCGTATAAACCAAACAGGGAAATTCCTGTAGACATGGCAGGGTTTGCAGTCAATGCCAAGCTGGTTGTTAATAATCCACATTTGAAATTTAATCCGAATAGTGTTGACATAGGACATAGTGAATCTGAATTTCTTACAATGGTCACATCCAAAGACACCATTGAACCACTTGGCGATCTTTGTAACAAGGTAAGATTGGCAAGCATTTTAAGATATTAGCAGCTAAATATGTCATGCAGGGTTTATAATTAGCAATACTAAATGAATGATTTATTTTCCAAGGTACTTGTGTGGCACACGCGAACATCACCCGCGAGATTGCATCGGGAGGCTGTGTTGAATGGAAAATCTTTTCCCGATCTAGAATGTTAACTTTGAAAACACTAAATTCATGTAATATACTATACACCGAAATTGTGTCATTTCCTTTATTTAACTCCAGGCTCCCTTCAGAACCTTTTCTAATTAACCCCACCCTTCACTCTTTAGAACCTTTTCTAATTAACCCCACCATTCACATATTTTGAAATACATTAATTTTTACAACATTGCCTTTGAGAAGATCTTTGACAAGAAAAAACTTTTCCTGGAACGGGACTATTTCTCAAATTACGAAAAAGCGTAAAGTTCTTCCTTAGACAAGGAACCAATTGCAATGAACATGTCCGTTATTGACCTCGTGCTTTCGACCTTGGTGAACATGGTGAACATAACCTCGGTTTCCAGTGCTCGCCTTAGTCCTTTGGAATCGCGCATAATTTGCATAATTTGCTATTTCTTTTCTGCAAAATATAAATTGCACAACTTTTGAAAGTCTTTCAAAGTCAGAAGTCTTTAAAATGTCTACCAAACGTATAGCAGTTGTGACCGGTGGGAACAAGGGCATTGGCTACGAAATTGTCAAATATTTATGCAAAAAATATGCTGGAATTGTGTACTTGACTGCTCGCAACGAAGGCCGTGGTCTAAATGCCTGTGAAAAATTGATCCTGGAAGGGGTGAAAAATCCACCTAAATTCCACCAACTAGATATAGCTGATGACGAAAGCATTGAAAAATTTCGAGATTATTTAAAAGAGACTCATAATGGACTTGATGTACTTGTAAATAATGCAGCAATTGCATATCACCCAAATTCACATGTATCTTTTGCTGAACAAGCAGAAAAGACCATGAGAATAAATTTTACTGGTACGCTGAATGTGTGCAAGGCCTTATTTCCTCTGCTACGGCCACATGCTAGGGTTGTACATGTGTCCTCCGGGTCAGGAAGGCTTGGGAAAATAACAAACGAATCATTAAAAATGGAGTTAACGATGCCAGACCTTACCGAGTCAGAACTGGTTGATTTGATGCAACAGTTTCTAGATGCAACTAAAGTGGGAGACCACGAGAGCAAGGGTTGGCCAAATTCAACCCAACCCTATGCCGACTATGCTGTCTCAAAGATTGGCCTAAACATCCTTACTGAGATTCAAGCAAGGGATAATCCATATGATGAAGACAAAGATACACTTATCAACTGTTGTTGCCCAGGACCATGTCTAACCGATATGGCTGGGCCACATGCCACCAAGACGGCAACAGAGGGTGCAGAGACCCCTGTCTACCTTGTCTTGATTCCGTCAGGATCAGAACAGCCACATGGGAAGTATTATACTGAACTTAAGGAAGCATCATGGAAATATTGAAAGGCATGTAATTAACACTTATTGACCTGTTGCCGGAGCTAAGCTTGAGGGAAACATTGGCAGTCGAGAGTCCACAAAAATACTGTGCCCCAAATACCACTCAATAATTAAATATTCTTTTATTTGGAGTCATTTAGTAATACTAGTTAAGGTCAGATTAAAATTTAGTAATACTAGTTAAGGTCAGATTAAAATCTTGACAAATATCAATATCAAAGTTTCAAGTAATCAAAATGTTTTTTGTCTGCGACTGTTCATTGTAGGGTGCAAACGACGGTATAACACTTGCAAGAGCCCCTTTAACACCACGCGTGTTTTTCTCGTGCATTGCTCATTTTGCGCGACAACAGAATTACAGAGGCAGAAGTCCATGGAAACGTATTCAAAACCTCGTTTAAAACCCTTTCAAACAAACTTAGATAGTATTTTTGTTGAAGAAAACTAATGTTTGGACATATTAAAACATGATAGTGCATGGTTCATCTCCGCCTTACCGACCCTTGCCACAGAGTTTGCGAGAAAGAAGTTCGCACTCTTTGCAGAATGTCCAAAGTCAGAATTGCGAGTTGACGACAGTGACTTTTAAAAAGACTACGGAACGAAAACGTCCAAAGTAAGTTAAACTTTTGAAGAGTATTTAATAGAGTGTTATTATTGTGTGTATTTAGGTAGTTTTTGTACTGTTTTTCGGTTTGTTTTGTAAACATTTACTTTATTAAAATAATATTACACTGTGGCATTTTTGACAATTTGTCACATCCAAATCAACTTTTAAAATATTAAATTAATATAACGTTAATTATTTACATTTTGATTTTTACCGAGGTCTTCGCCATTAAAAATATCCCAAAAACTTGCTGAAGAGTTCAAATCTAAAGAAGGCTGGTAATTATTGATTTGTTGTAAACTGATATTTTATATAAAATATTGCTGTAATTCAACCAATACTATTCATGACAATTTGAAATTTTGAGTGCAGGCAGAATGCTAAAGAGAGTATCAAAACAGTTGAGGGTGCATTTAATGACAAGGTTCGTACAGTATCTGTATTATGCCATCAAAATATGTCCCCCAAAATTTGTAGATGTAATACGATTAACATTTCTTTGGTGATATTAATATAACTTCTTAACTGTGTTTATCCTAACCCACCCTGTCAACTTTCCCTGTGGGAGGAAACCCAAGCACACAGAGAAAACCCACGACTTTCGGCAGAGCATTGACTGACTCTTTTCACATGAGTCTACAGTGAGAATCGAACCCACACGTCCAGTAATTAAATTTCATCATTAGTCAATTTATATATTTGTTAATGTAGGGTACAATGTACTTCAAAGTGGTGCAACCTGGTTATTCTATTGCTAAGCGGAAGAGTGGAATTAACGTAACTTTAAATATGGATGAACTTTGGGCGGGTGCATCTAAGGTTAGCCCCCCATAATATTATTATGCTAATTATCATATATAGCATAGTTGGTTGCTAAAACCTGCCACAAAAGCTCTTGACAGAGCTAAACAGCCTATAGTTCCAGACATCACATTGACTAGATCTTTGTTTTGCAAGGTAAAATTCACAGGTATCTCACATACAAGAGATTGTGGCATAGCAAACAGCCTCAAAAGTTTCTCAGAGCTCTTGTGTGTGGCTTTAATTGCAAAATTTATGAATTTCTAATGCAAAATTTTTTATTTCTTTTTTTGTAGGATTGCAAGAAAAGGTCAGTTTTGGATACTAATATCTCCTATTTAGAATATTTATAGCATTAATATAATTAATGATTAATATATCTTATAATTTCATTTTGCCATATAGTCTACCTGCACAAGATGAAAGGTATATTGCACTGTAGTGTACTTGTGAGATAATATTGTAAAAACATAGTCATAGTCTAAAATGTTGTAGATACTGTGGCTTACATTGTCCCCCATTCTATGCCTAGTTAGACTAGTTAAATATAAATATAAATATACTAATAATATTTGTAGAGATTTGAAAATAAAGAAACTACAGAAGGAAATTGATGATTTAAAGGCCACATTAGCTGAGGAGAGAATTTTGAACAGATCACAGTTTCAACAAGTACTGTATTTGTCATGTTTTCATGATGATAATGGCACAGTCAGTGTACCATAGTATTTTCTCATTGATTTTTTTCCTTTATAGTTTGTTGAAAATACAAAAACTGATGTTGAAGTTATGATACAGGAACATAGAGATCATATAAAGTATGACACAGTCTGCATTGTACTAAAAAAATGCAAGCTTGCAATATCTCACAGTGCACATGCAACGTCAAGTCTTTCTGTGCAAGTCTTGGGACTGACTCAAGTGATGCATGACTTGTATTTTGCCCTCATTGCAACCCCAGGGGGAAGACACAGTTGATGCAAGCTACAAAGCTATTTCAACAATTCAATTTTGCACTGTTTGATTTTCACAAATGCTTGAATATTTAGGACAATTGAAGAAGAACATGAGGTGGAGTTAGAAAATTTAAAAGCAATATACGAGGCAAAGGTTTGTGTGTCGTGTTTTATCCACAAAATTGCAGTCGAGTTGCAGGGTGTACTGAAAAAAACTGGTCAACCGTAAAATGGATACCCCAAAGTCTACAGCAGTATAACTAATTTTCTGTATCTGTAGATTAATGAAGAGAAGGAGGAAGCTAATTTGAGAGCAAGTTAGTTACAGTACTCTTTGTTTTATCAAACAATACTCTTTATTTTTATGCTTTGTTAAACTTATGTACAATAGCTGCCATGAAATACAACTAGTTTATGGTCTGCGGCACTTCAGCTAGAAAAAACCTTAATCTAGTATATTAAATTCTTTACAGTTGAAATGCAGGAAGAGATTGATTCAATCCAAGAAACTCTCCAATCTTGCACGGTATAAAAGTTAGGTCATCATTGAAATAAAACTAAACTATAAACTTCATTTATACTGGATCATTCTGTATCAGTTCTAAACTGTTCTCCCTGGAAGTCTGATATGATTGTTTTGCAACCTTACACAGTGGTTTGTTTTGGTTTGCAGGAAGATGTGACTGCTAACTTGGAGAAACAGTGGTTGGAGAGAAAGGTAGCATTGTTACAGAGTTCAGATTTGACTACCATTAACCAATAAGATGTGTTTACTCTACCCAATTACCCAATCAGATTCGTCCTGAGCCAGTGTGAAGTAGTGGAAGTGAAATCTGAACTTTGTCTATTATGTTGGGTACCTCAGTGGTTTAATTTATTCCCATATCACTGTTGTCTTCATAGGAAAAACTTCACTCTGAGCAAGAACTTAAAACTGAAAAGCTACTTCAAGAACAAAGTATGTCACTCTATGATGTGTTTTTCTACTTTATTTGTTCCGTCTAAACTGCTCTCATGCACTGGAGGTTCTCTTATCTGCTCAATGTTGTTAAAGATGAAAACAGGAATTAGACAAACACTCTTTTCCCATGTGACCGAGATGAAATTTACTAAGCTTTTTCTCTATTAGGATTAAGATTAAAAAGTGAACGGATTGCAGCTTTGAATGAAGTGACAGAGCGACATGTGCGAGAACTTGGTGGCGTTAAGGAGACACATCGTAAAAAAATGAATGTAAGTTAATTTATCAATTGCTGTTCTCTCAGAATGTACTGTAACTAGTGTTATTTGTGCCATTTACTGTTATTTGTGTAGTTGGTTAATACGTTTCCCTCGTGAAATGTCGTTTATTTACATACAGTACTTACTACCTTAGGGCTGGTTAATACACTATCAAAGTTTCTGTGATCACAGTAGGAATTTTGCCTGGATAAATTCTAAGTTTTGAAGGATTTGCAAGAAATGTTTGAGGGAACCAGGTCATCCAACTTAATACTGAATCAGTTCCTTCTACTATTTCTTACAGCCGGTTTACCTAGTATGCAACGTTCCTAGTACTGTGAGCACAGAAACTTTGATAGTTACAGATACAGATAGATACAGATATTTCACAGCACACTCCCTATATCAGGGCTTTTCAGTGACTGGTTACATTATGAATAGATAGATAGAACCGGACTGACGTGAAGCAGACCGAGGTAGACTTTGAGCTTACAAATGGCGCTTGAGCAGCTGCCGCTATTAGTCCATACCTCATTAATGATCTGCCTCCAGACCTATGTGCCTAACCCACCCTGTCAACTTTCCCTGTGGGAGGAAACACGGAGTGCCCGGAGAAAACCCACGACTTTCGGCAGAGCGTTGACTTTTACTCTTTTCACATGAGGACTGGGTTCGAGTCACATTGAGAAGTTCTCACTGAGATTCGAACCTGCGACCTTAGAGGTGAAAGGCAAGTGCGCTATCCACTTGGCCACCGAAGCCCCTGTACTGTACAGGGTATGTCACTGGTTAAATGTCATGCTGAGTTCTTTCTGTCATTCAGGCTGTCCGTGCAGAGTTTGCTGCTTTTGCAGCTGATGCTGAGAATTTGAAAATCATTGCTTTGGAAGCCGAGGTGTGTTTTGTTTTATTTTCTGCTTCATATTTAGTTATTAATGAGTTTGACCAATACTATGATGTATTATAGAAATTGAAAGAGGATATGAGAGAATTACAAGATGTTCATGCTAAAACGAAAGAAAAATTGAGAAAAACCAAGAATGAATTAGCAGATGCGGTAATGGTTTAATACTTTACATACATTGCGGTTGTCTTTAGTTTATTTACTTAATTTGCGGCTATAGTTACATGGCGGTTGTCGTTAATGTTGTATAAAGTCATATATTTGTATGATCAATTATTCAATCTTCTTTTTAGAAAGTACAACTTCAAGGTTATGAACTTAGTTTTTCAGAAAAGGTACGTTCCCGTATTGACCATTACTCCATTACATTAGTTTTCAAATGAAACTCGCTAGGTTCATTTCTCTTATGATGTATATTTCTATCCAGGTAGCAGAAGTTGAGGAGCGATACTCGATGAAGATCCAAGGTCTTATGCTGAACAATACTGATATCAGACGAAACTACATGAGAAAATGTGCTGAACTTTTGGATGTTCAAAATAACAGCGATTCCCCAAAGGTATGTAGAGTATACCGTAAAATACTGTTGTCATATGTTCATAATACTGATGAGAAACAGAGAATTCTGGAGAACATGTTAGAAAAGACAGAACATCAAGATATAGAGACAAGAAGATAGAAAGACAATAGGAAGAGAAGCCACAGAGACAGAACAAGGCAAGGAAATGCAATTTTTAAGCTTTATTTTTCGAAAATAAAATGCTTTCAATGTAAAGAAACTGTACTTTTGTATTTTGTTGCAGGAAAGAAAATCGAGCAATACCAAGAATACGATGAAGGTGAGTCCATCAAAGGTGGTGCATCACTCTAAACCTCACTATTATATACATATGTACATCAAATAAATGAAAAATGGGAAATAAAACTACATCTCCCTGCATCTTTTCATTGTATAGACGATTATACTCGCTCGCGCCAAAGCAGATGTAAGTCTAGTAACAGAAAGAAAGAAACAGAAAATGGACAGTGGAAGTCCTAAACGAGCACTGTCTCCGTTAAGAAGGCCACGAAGTGCTCCGGCATTTAAACCGGAAGTTTTTGAAGAGGATAATTTTTTTTTAACAGTATCAGAGCTGCGGACATATCGACCCAATTCAAGTTTAGCGTGAAGGTTCAATGTGAGAGGTTTAAAGGCACAGTTCAGCCTTATTACAACCCTTTTAATTGAAAAAAAAACTAACTAGGAAAACCAATTAAGCATAATTCTAGATCAAATGTTTTTAACATTAAAAATGTTAAAAAATGTTGAAAACATTGAAATCACTGATCTTGAATTTTTGTATGGTAATTTGGAGACATAAACACTGTTTGAGTCATACACTGCGTCACTGAAAAGCCGTCGGATTTTAAGTCAAATGTGTGTTTGTGTGTTATATTTATTTAACATAGAAAAGTCTATGACCGATCTCTATTTTTATTGTTAATAGTATTTATTGGTATAACTTATTTATTAAAAACTAAACTTTTTTATACTGGATTTTATATCCAATGATTTGAAATCCAATTTGTTTGATGAGATCCGTTAATCGTGAGACAGTATACGATCCAGAGAAGAATTTCAATGCTGTCGCCAGGGAAAGAAGGCAAGAAAAGGAAAATTATTTACATTTTTTGCAACAAGATCAAAATGTAAATCTAAAGAAGTTTCAACACTTGTCGACGCGTCAAGAAAAAATCTATACACTGGTCTAATGTAAGTACATATAGTAAAGATGTTTGATTGCCTAAGTGTTTATATTATTATCACTGAATTATTATGATTTAAATATCTGTGATTTTTATTTTTTAGATATTTTATGTCATTTGTTAACTACTGCATGCTAAAGTCTTAGAAGACGCATCAACGTAGAAGATGCTTTATTGAACAGAAAGTGAAAATCTGCTTTTAAAATTGCTTAACTTGCTTGAAGATTTTTTGCTTCCCATGGATGACAAGCAGAAATTATTAATTTAGAAACGACGTTTCAGTAGAAAAGGTACAGTACAGTATATTACTGATATTCCAATTTTGCATATAGATTATAGTTTGTAGATGTCGTCTTTCATATTTCGTTTCCCTGTTAGCTTCCCACAGGTATTACCACAATCACTCTTCAAGAGATTCACTATTGGTCATCTTTCAGTCATACAACTGCTGGGTCAACTTCAACCTTGATGTGTGTGTACAATGGATAGATGACAGTATCGAGTAAGTTATATTTCAATGTGTTCAAACCATCGCTTTTCATTCTTGGTACAACATCATTTAACAACTCGCGTGTTCTAGAAAATTGAGAGTTGAAATGTTTTAGCATTTTGTCCAGGGATGCCAAGAAGTCCCCCCAAGCAAACCAGGCAATTACTCGAAGCCTGATGAGAGGAATGTAGGAATAACCTCTTTGATATCGCTCAAAATGGGCGGTTCAGCTTGGTTGGCGCACGTTTGAAGAAGACCTGAGCTGGCTGGATGCATCTCAACCCGTTTCATATTGTGCCAGAAAGATTGGGAAGTGCATACCAAACAAGGCGAGAAGACTTTCAAAGCACGTGTTTGGAAACACAAGTAGGATCTGTAGGATTTGTAAAAAATGTTTGAGGGAATCGACTACGTGTTAAACAATCACTTCCCTCAAACATTTCTTACAATTCCTTCATAACTTAGAATTTACTGATAAAAAATTCCCACTGTGATGACAGAAACTTTGATAGTGATAAATGAGGTGCAAGCACAGGTACTGACCTTTTTTCATTTTTTTTACCTTCGGCATAATGATGTTCTTTGAGCATCTTGTAGCGACCAGTTTCCATGCTCGGTCGAGTAACTCTTAGACCATTAGCGATACACCTGAAAATATGATCTGACATTAAATAATATCCTCAGGAAAATACATAGCCATAGGCTATGTATGAGTATGACGAAAAAAATTTTTCGATCAGCAAGTCAAACTTTGGACAGCTAAGCGTAGTAGAAACGATAATAAAACACGGCTAAGGATTCATTTGCATACGTATACTGCATGAAAGTTTATGTGTCAAAATGTGCTTTAAAATTCTCCTGAGCCAAACCTATCTCCGTTAATATACGTTTTGAACATTTCTAAGTCGATCTATGCCATATTAGCACTTTACTCTTTAGTTTGTAACATGATGACATGGTAATACTTTAAATCGAGTGTTCAATAATCCTTTCCAGAACTTAAAAAAACTGTATTTGAGAACTGAGAGTGAAATGTCATTTAAAATCCCCCGAATGAGATTTTAGATTGTGGTTGTTGTTTTCACCAGACCCGGCTTCAGGAATGAACGTCACTTTGGCTGTAGCCTGTGTAGGGCTCGTTTTCGTGATTCGATTAACTAACCTCGCATCATGAATCTGTGAGAACATATTACCTGTGATACAGATCATCGTCTTCTCCTCCCCAACCCCAATATTTGTTGGAAAACCCGTTGACTTTCTCAAAATGTTCTTTCCAGATCGCCTCGACACCTCCAAATATATAATGATACGGCAATCTGAAGATAAGATTTACATATATAAAATGCTTATGCTATTTAATTCATTCACAGGTACATACACTGTACAAACTAAACTAAATAAGCCTTGTTTATATACTTATAAGCTGTTCTTCCTAGAATCCAAATACCCAGCGGGCAAAATGACGTTTATTCAACGTTGAATCAACGTTGGAAATGATCACCCATACGTTGGATAGACGTTGAAAAAGGATTGAAAATGCAAATTGGATTGACGTTACTCTTTTGACGTTGAAACAACGTTGAGATTAGGTTGCCAATCTCGTCAACCATAATTCAACGTTGAATCCACGTTGAAACAACGTTGAGAATACTTCACAAGTTGATGTATAACCAACCACAAACGAACGTTGATTCGACGTCTGTTTGCTGCTGTTGAACCAACGTTCGTAAAACAACGTCAGAGCAACGTTGATATTAGGTTGTCGACGTCGTGACCTTATTTCAACCACATTTCAACGTTGAAACAACGTCAATCAAAGGCCTTTCCTAAATATTGGTATACACTCAACCAAGGACCAGTAGCGTAGCCACGGGGGGGGGGAGTCCCCCCACTCCTTCAGAACCACCTTCGAGATATGTTTAAATCCGTTGAGAAACTGGAGTAACATTGATCCGATTTCATGTCCAGCTTATTCGCATCTAATAACTGAAGACGCAGGTATTCTTGACCAAATTTGATGTTATGATCATCTGAATTTTGTAAAATCTCACCCCAAAATGCACGAAATGGCGTTTCAGAGGCTCTGAATTTCATAATTTTCCGGCGGGAGCATGTCCCGCCCACTTTGTAAACCCCATATCTATGGTAAATCCTGGTTATGCCAAAGACTATCACAAATCAAGCATTCTGATTGGCTACTTACGAACGAATCATTCGTCGCGGACCATGACGTCACGGGCCATGTTTGAAAAAAAGATAGCGGCATCTCGAGCGGAATCGAAAATTTTTTTTGCAAAGGGGGAATTTTGTTGGAAATTCTTTCCCCGAAGAATAAAAAAGACTACAAAATATGATTTGAAGACGTTTAAAGGTAGGGAGCAAAGTTTAAACCGTGTTTTAATAATAAATCTGCTGTTACTTGCCACAAAATGTGACACGAAGTCGACGACAGGCGGAATTCAGAGCACTTTTTTGTGCATATTAAAGCAAAACTGTTGACACCACTGTTGAAATTTCAGCAGCTTGTAGTGACTTAATCATATGTTTTCCTCGTCTTTTAAATGTTTGCTTGTCCAACATGTGATTTTATGTTTATAGCAGTAATATTTCAAGGCTTTTCCCCTCCCCTTTTCATTTTAAATGGTCTTGTTTGCATGCTTCGATTTTTCCCGCCTAAAAACAACTTCCCTTATGGCCTCCGAGTTTTTCGATAAAATTTTAATGTTAAGTTTTGTCTGTACATTTCAAGTGATAGTATTGTTTTTCTCAGTTATTTTATCATGTATTTCAATAAAATTTCATCAATTTCAACATCATGAGTATCGCTTTGCCTGTATTTTATACTTTTTAACGTGAACTACAGCAAGTCAGAAACATATTCGGCAAACCATATTGTTTTACAGATTGAAAACATTCAAAACATCTTAAGTTTTGGACTTTTAAGTCTTTTTTCGTTCACTTATAACGATTAAAACTTCGCTTCGATTGTAATACGGCTTATTTTAAAACATTTTCAAGGCTCACGAGATGTGTATTTTTGAAAACCTCTCGAAGGGTCGTTTGCAAAAAGTACGCTAAAAGCAACATGCGAAGGTTGAAAGAAATCATTCGAACGCTCTGCGTGGTTTTAAATTTTATTCAAATTGCGCCTGGAGTTTGTATTTTGAGTAGGAGTGTATACTAAATAACAATTATTTATTTAATTAGTTATTAATTTTTCATTATAAATAATTTAGAATTATTAAATTAGTATAATTGCTCCAGTGTTACCACAGGAGGAAACCTATACTAAACTTCAGAAGCAGTCATCTCTTATTGCTCCAGTAATTAGCGGTGTAGCCAGCGGGGGGGTTGGCTCTACCCCCAATGGGCAAAAGGACTGCCCCTATGAAAATCTGAAATCCGGGCAGAAATTGGGGGAGGGGGTACGATGTGTAATATTGATTCCCATCACTTCTGTTTACTTAAAAAGCTGTAGTCTTCCCTATCTAGAACAGTGGTTGAAAGCACATTTGAACTTGAATTGACGTGCACAGTGCAGTCAAAGTTCATTCTTTTTATTACAATATTATTTCCACTTTAAAAACGAAGACATATGCTACAAAAATATTTTTTCGATTGAACAAGTCGCCTAACTTAAAAATGGCTTTTGTGGTAGAAACTTTTCTTCAAACCTTGTCCTAGAATACATGAAATAGCGTTCTAATGAATCCATGGGGGAGAATGCCCCCAGACCCCCCTAGATCCCTCCCGGCTTTGGCGCTCGCATCCAAATGCCATACAAATGTTGCCCCCCTCCAAAGTTTAGACCCTGGCTGCGACTATGGTGCAATTACGATCAGATCGAGGCGCATGAACTTTAAAGGATTGTGCCACCAACACCGTTGGTCATTACAGCCCAAAATTATGATGTCAAGATTTCTCTGATCTCACTCGATTGAATAATAATAGTTGCAGGATATTGCAGATGGAAACTCACGGCGATTTATCGAGTCTAATAAATGTATATAAAAAGACCCATCTACAAGACCCTCCAAAATCATGATAACATAAAGTACCTGTAATGGAACTTGTCCACCGCAGGACACATATGACGCGGTGATGTTGGACAGCTGTACATATTGTTATCATCTTCCGGAAGTAGATCCACGTCATGAAATATAAAGCATTGGTAATTGTTGAACTTCTGGACCTCTTTGAAACCAATGTTGAAAAGAATCGCACGATTGAACATCGTATTACCGTCCTGTTAAAAATTGATATGTTTTTAAATTTGTTTATAAATTCGAATATGTTTAGTATACTATTTAAAACACTAGAGCCTGTTCGCAGGCTATTTAAAACACGAGGTGACAGCCAAGTGTCTTATGTACTATTTAAAACACGAGTTGGAGTGTTTTATCAGATATAACACGCGAGACGCAGCCGAGCGTTTTATATCTGATAAAACACAACAACGAGTGTTTTGAATAGCTTAAAATACGACTACAAAAGGATACTAATTAGTTGCTGGGGCACTGTGCCAGCAACTATAGGTTTCGGGTGAATTTGGTCTCCGTCTCCTTCTCCATGGATAGTCGCAAAATGGAAATTCCCACTGATCTATATACGAAGCAATACGTGCATATATTTTCGCTATTTTGACGGTCTTAAAGTCTTCGTAAGTGTATAAAGTGAACGTCAAATTGTTCTTTCAATCACGCTTGTTCTTCTGGGGGCTTTTTGAAAGAAATCCATCAAGAATATACAAAATTATGTCGACGTTTCACTATCGAGGAGTGGAGTATATTCCGAGGTGGATTAACTGACAATATTAAACTGTGTTATTTATTCGTCGTACCATTATTTCTGAACGTTTATATTTTTGTTTTGTGAAGTTTTACATCTATATACGCTTTAATATGGCTTATAGTCTTGGTTGCTCCAATAGTCTGCATAAAAATCGTATTTGTTTACATGTATTGGAACTGTCATATTTGCATGCTAGCTCTATTTTCAAGAAGGCTCAAATGTTGGCTGTTTTGAAGTGACATACGAGGTACGTGACACACAATCTTGGATTGGTATTCCTTAGATAGATAGATGTTTTTAATTGATAAACCTTGCAGCCATTGGCTGTATTATGTTAACATTACATAAGGTCCACTTATTATTCTGGTTATAGGACTGAACTATTAGCTTAAAAACTCCCATGTTCTTGTTGTAAACTGCATCATGTATTCATGATTTTTACTTGTATCTTATTTGCTTATTTAATAGATTGCAAACAGGGGTCCCCTTGTTAAAAATTTAATGTCAACTTGGGAAGATTAACCTCGCAATATTTTTGCTGATTGCAAAATTTATAATCTAGCAGTAATCTGTACCTTACTATGATCTAACCATTTGATGATATTTATGTGGCTCTAACATGTAATAGCTTCAATATTTTGGAGTGTATTATTTGATGTTAATTAAGCCCTTTAGTTAAAAATCACCAATTGAAGAATTGCTAGAACCAAAAGCGAATACTGGAACTATTTATATTTACCATGTTGCACCCTCAATGCATGGTTACCCCACGTCTTGTCACCCCCCCCCCCTCTTTGAGGGCCCTCTTTGTTAGCGATTCAGTTCTACACCACTGACTGCTAATATAAAGTTATGTAAAATTTTAATGCCAATAGCTCAGGGAGTGCAGTGCTGTGGGAAGCTCTTTTTGATTGGGGAACTGAAAGCAATGGCCAAAGGCCCGAGGAAATTTTTTAATTTAGTTTTCAAACAGCACCCCCCCCCCTGGTTGCTACGGCCCTGAGGTGAAATATAACCACTGTCTATCGCATGCATCAGTTAGGTGCAAAAA